GCGGATGTTGGAACTCTGGAACGAATGGGTTTCAGCGATCTCCAACCTCGAACAGCTTGCCATGTACCTTTTAAGAGTGTGCCAGCAATTCTGTAACCACGCTGAATCCCCAGAATACCCAGTGTTACCCAGTATAGTTTTTCACCATGTTCATAGGCTTGTTGCACTGCTTCCTCTAACCATTTATCCAAAATAGGAACAGGCGTCCGACGAGTGACAACATGTCCATTGGAGAACAATCGCTCTACCAGGTCGTGGCCAGCGTCACGAAGATTGCGACGGTAGGCCGCGGTCAGGCCTACACTCCGCAGTCTTACCATCTTGCCACAACTTGCAGGCTGCCGCAAAGCGCTCGCAAAATTCGAGAGGGTATGCTCCAGCTTCTTTAGCCTTGGTCCCTCTTAAGGGTTTCCCATGTGCATGATCACGAGGACAGCGCTTCACAGAAGGAGCAATCCATGCGCCGGAGGCCAAAATGCGAGTAGGCTTCTTATTGGGCGTGGTTGTCCTAGAGGGTCCTTGTACGCACACCAATGCATTTCCCAGAAAACTACCCCAGCCAGCTTCAGTAATGCAACACTCTCCCTCATAAGCCAAGCTTTGCTCCCGCGTGGATGCTCTAAAAAGAATGGTATGCCATGTTTCCAAGCTAGCAGGGCCAAGAAAACAGCTCGCCGCCAGAGGTGGTTGCCAAGCCGCACTGCAGGGTCAGCTTTGTTTCCTTCGGGAAGCCCTTGCGGTCTGAGAGGCCCGCCCTTGTCCAAGTTCCGCAAAGGTGAAAAGGTACTACATGGAGGAGCCAACCAAATCCACCCTATTCTACCTTCTCGAAGCCATACTTCTATCCAATCTTCAAAGGCGTCCCGCCCCCAAAGGAGGTCAATGGGGTCTAACGTGGGCAGCCCCGCCGAAACGCATGCCTTGGTCAACCCCGTGCTGCCAGCAAATGCCTCTAAACCAGGAGACTGTGAACTGAAGACACCAAGCTTTTGTAACCAATGAGGACGAGGGCGTGGAGGTACTGTGCGTTTCCACCCAAATAATCCCAAGAGCAATGTTAGCCAAAACTAAATAGGGGATCAAAGTTCGAAGAATGCCATTGAGCTTAAAAGAACTACAGTAGATCTCCCTTTTGAGGCTGCTCCAACCACCACTCTGGAATCATTCAAAAAGAGCTGGACAGAGCCGTAGTTGGCGAAGTCACTGGCAAGTGCTACAACCTCCTTTCGAAGCGCATGCATTTCCTGTAGGTTGATGTGGGAAGTGCGCTTGAACGTGTAGCTGGAAGTAACATACCATTCCAAAAACTCGGCCGCAGCACTGGCCAGCTGAGACGGTGCCTTGGGCTGTTCAGCACTGAGCCAACTAGCAAAGCTCATGTCTCTATCCAACCGCACTGCTTCGCCCCGGGCGTCACTATGGTCCCACAACTTTTGCGCAAGACCTCGCGGCAGCGAAGCCGCACATCCACCCCCCGAAGTAGGTGTGGCATCTGTGGCAAAAAGTCGGCTTGCAAATTGGCGTCTCATGTTCCAACAACTAAAAGGAAGGTGCAAACACATGGACCGTAGTTCATCTTGAATGTAGGTTGGAATATTGCAGACCCCCTCGTCTACCATACTGTCCAGAAATTTGTACACATGATGCTGAAGCGCATACAACTCCCTTCTGTATTGGAAGAAGAAACAAACATATCCCAGAAGCCGCTGTAAAATTTGCTTCGACGCCCGACCATATTTTATCACTTCTAGCAGCAAGACCCATACTTGCCGACGCGAGGAGAGTGGTGCTGCCACACGACCTCGCACACCATCTACCTCTGCACCCCAAGCCTTGAACTGAGTCTCACCCCTAAAGCTCTTGCGCGTGGCCCGCTCAAGACCGGCCCTCTTGTAGGCCTCTTCGGCAGCCTGCGCTTGCACCATGTCGGGATCGGTGGCCTGAGGCTGAGGAGGCGTGAATGAGCCGTCGAGGGGAATAGGGTGAGGAAGCCGAATGCGGGAGGCTATCAACAGATCGTCTAAATAGGCCCCTTCAAAAAGATCTCCATGGGGTAGTGGCTGACCATATTCCCACTTAGTCTCTGCGCTCAAAAGGCCAGATTGCTTCAGGACCGCCTCATGAACTGCTTGCGCAATGTCACACGCATTGGTGTCTCCCATTCCTAAAACGCGCATCGCTGCGCGGCAGTGCCTGCCAGGATCTCCACCCCATTTAGCCACTACAGCAGGCAGGACTCGCCTACCGACAGCATTGAAGCGCGCCCAGTTCGGGGGAAGTGCCAAAGCATAATAGTAATTACGAAGATCATCGCCGCTTCCACGCAGAATTTCGTGATCTTGCAAAAGAAGTCGCGCAAAACAAGCTCCAGACGGTAAAGAAGCCCAGTCAAGTTTATGCATGGTTGCATTTTCAGGGCGCCTATCTAGGATTAACCTGTCTTCTACCTCATTCTTCTTTACACAAAAGAAACCAGCTACCATCAGCTTCCCATCTTTGTTTCTAGGTAATTCATCCTCAGGGACCAGAGTGATCATGTGGCAGTCAAGCAGTTTTTTCGACTAGCCGCACCTCCTCTCAAGGATCAACTTGATGACAGGCACGAACAACTGGGCCCCACTCCTCCTCAGGCTTCCTCAACTCTTCTAAGTGACTAAAAAGGTAGCCTTGGTGAGGGGGAAGATGGTCCAGGGGGTCAACGGTGCCAGCACAGGCAGGAATCGCCACCCGTTCTGCCACCACTGGGGTGGCTGAAGAAACTTCGCCTTTGCCACTGTGGCCCTTCTGCGGGCCTCACACCATAACACGCGTGACTATGAGCCAGAGCTGCAAGGGCCTCCTCTATCGAGACCCGCTTTCCATCGCAAGTCAAGCTCTCTGTACATATCGTCTCATCCATGAATTCGACCACCTCGCCAAGCAATCTATCTGCGAAGGTCCGCGCGTCCCTCCAACATCTATAGACAACCCGCGGCTCACACGCACCGCCCCGACAGTCAGGACAACCTAACACCACATAGTTAGACCACGCAATCCTGCTGTTTAGGAGTTGCTTGGCCCAAACCATCGGACGCTCAGCATCCACGACTGCACACCCCTTGGCATGTAAAACCTCAGGATATGGAGCAGCAGCAGGGAAGAGTGGGATTTCCTTCTCAGGCTTGCTAGGTCGCTCTAGCAAAACACTTTGGGCAGCTTTCCACCAGCTCATGTAACGCAAAAACTTTGAATTCATGCCTCGCTCCCAGGGGTATTTCCGCGGAGCTTGGCCTACACGCACGAAAGTCGAGACACATGAGGTATCGGGTCGTGAGGGGCAGTCCTGCCCAAGGTCTCGAAGTTGGTGAGGGGGCACACCAGAGGTCGAACCGACATGGGGCCCCGGCACTCCAACTGTCGAGACCTGAACAGGATTCCCACCACTTCTAGGCCTTAGTCTTCGTCGACAGAGCCCTGGGTTGACTCCTTGACCTTTTTCTTCAGCTTTGCCATGCTGCCTAGATACTGAGAGACAACCGCCATCTCGGTCTTTGATCCTGCGAACTCCTTTTTGGACAAGGGGTCGGCTAACCCCGTGAGCAACCACGCGGCGCTCCAATCCCCACCCTGTATGATGCATTGCAGCTTTGACTTGAGGTTCTGGACCACCTGAGCAGCCGCCGCCTCGCGATGACCACTCCTTAGAAGCTCGTAGACGGCCACATCCATGTAGCAGCAACGTTGCAGGCCTCGAAACTTCCCGAAGCTCTGGCGGCGCAGCCATTCTTTGACAGTCCAGGCCTGTCCCTCGACGATTCCAAGTTCCTCGGTCAACTCCTCCTCGAACTCGCGAATGATGCTTCCCGGCCTCTTTTTGATGCGGCGCTGAAGTCGATGAAGAGTGACCACGCTTTTCATTCCCGAGTCCTTGTCGAGCTCGTCGCTTGAGGATCCGGAGGTGGACGAACCAAGGGGTTCCAAGGCTCGCTCTTTCTTCGATTTGCGCTTTTGGCTTTTCGAAAAGACTGTTGAAGCTGCTGTCGCTGCTGCGTCAACATCATCAGCAGCATCGGGGTCAGGTTTGCAGCCCCTGAGCTGCTGCTGGGTCCGGTCAACTGCTGGAACATGGCCTGCTGCAGTAACATGTTCATGTCGGGCTCTCTCTTGTCTTTCTTCACTTTCTTTTCTTTTCGGCTCGAAGGGGCGCCGGGAGCAACATCTTGCTCTTGCTTTTGCTTGGCGTGGGGGGTATGAGCTCGTCGTCCTCCTCCGACTCTGAACTCTCGCTCCCCCCGCTGGACTCCTCTCCTCGACCCTGGAAGGTGGCCTGCAGTCGCTTCAGCTGCTTGCTCAGGTCGTCGGCTGCAGGGTCTGTTCGAGAAGTGGCCTGGGCTCGAGCCTGCCCTTTTGGGCCAAACTGCTCGGCTTCGCTGCTGACGAGGTCCTTGGCAGCTTTGGACCATGCCTTTTGGGCAAAGTCGGGTGCGGGTGGCCTTCCGCCAGCTCTGCTGGCCCAACCTTCAGGCGTGACTAAGCTAACAGCATTCAACTTCACCTTCAAAAAGGCCACTGACTCACCACCCTCACAACTATGCACCAACGAATTGGTCACCTGAGAGGCCAGGCTAGGATCAAAGGCTAGAACCACTTCTTCTCCGAGGTCTTCCACAACAACACCTTTGATTCTCACCTGTCCGCTCGAACCGCGGCAGTTTAGAAATCCAGCTGCGCCATGGCGCACCATATTTCGAACCTTTGAGGCTGCAGGCCAAGCAAAATCACTGTCCTCTCAAGATCTGTGCAGGGCCACAGCCCTTTTTGGACTTGTCCATACATGAATCCTGACTTCATTCGAGGGGGGAAGGGGTTGAATTGAATGATCAATTATTAGACCCGGACTCGCCGACACTTGCTTCGCAAGTCAAACTCAAGGTATCCCCTAAAGGGCTACCTTTCGTGATATATATATATATATACCTGTTTAGCCCTGCGCACTTCCACAGCAAAATCAATGCTCGGGCCTTCGACCCCAGCCGCTGCATGGACTCCCATCGATTGAAGGAGTCTGTGTCGAAGGCCGCCAGCAAAGAGAGCTCCTCGTCACTATAGTCATACCTAAGACAAACAAGTCATGCAACATCACAAGGCATCACGCAACATCCACAAACGCTGGCAAACGAAAGGTTCTGCTTGTGCATGTCAAACGCCGGTGAAACGAAGACTGTATCAGGGAATCTTTCCGGTTGCATTCGGACTGGTTACTGGTTACTGAAGAAAAGTGGCCACTGTCTTGCTGGGTGGACTCTTGTTGGTACGGTACGGTATCGCTTTTTAAATATACGATTTTTAAAACAGGTAAACAGGTATTTTAGACTACCTCCGGCAAGGTTTTTGCCAGCCCGGCCCGACCCTTTAAACATACGGAATGAATATACGGTACGATTTAAATATACGGTCAGCTTACATATGTGCGGCGGCATTTATTTGGTACTGAGCTCAAACGCGCAATCTATTATGTGGAGGCCCTATCTCGTTTCGACTACTTAAGTAGAAGGTCATGTAATGTTAGAGTATCTCGCTCAGACTACTTTAGTCTTGGTAGTCCCGGTGGTCTTGGTGGTGATTGTGGCAATCTACTCTTGGTGGTCTTGGGGGCTGGTGGCCTTGGTGGTCTTGGGGGTCTCCGTGGTCTTGGTAGTCTTGGTGGTGATTGTGGCGGTCTAGGCGGTGTTGGTGGTGATCGGTGGCCTTGGTGGTCTGGTCTTGGTGTCTTGGTGGTCAGCGGTCTTGGTGGTCCAGGGGGTCTTGGTGGTGATTGTGGCAGTCTACTCTTGGTGGTCTTGGGGGCGCTGGTGGCCTTGGTGGTCTTGGTGGTCCGGTCTTGGTGGTCTCTGTGGTCTTGGTGGTGATTGCGGCGGTCTAGGCGGTGTTGGTGGTGCTCGGTGGCCTTGGTGTCCTGAGGCAGTCTACTCTTGGTGGTCTTGGTGGTCTTGGTGGTCCGGTCTTGGTGGTCTCCGAGGTCTTGGTAGTCTTGGTGGTGATTCTGGCGGTCTAGGCGGTGTTGGTGGTGCTCGGTGGCCTTGGTGGTCCGGTCTTGGTTCTGTAGGTGCCAAAAACTGCCTCGTTACAACATGGCCTCTCTGTAAGGGCCTCAATCCCTTTTCGTAAAAGAAATGTCAACAGGGATTACATTTTAAATATACGGTGGGAACAGGTATTTTATACTACCTCCGGGGCCGATTGCTCTGGCCCGGCCAGACCCTTTAAATATACGGTGGGAACAGGTATTTTATACTACCTCCGGAGCCGATTGCTCTGGCCAGGCCACCATATATTTAAAAAGCGTTACCGTACTTATAGCGCTGCTTCCCCCATGTCACACAGCTTGCACGATTGCAATTCTCTCAAAAAATCTCCCCAAAGTGAGTCTCCTCGATCCAATCTCGCCGCATCTTGCCAAGTCGCTCGAGCTTCACCGGTGCCGAAAACCCTCGTAGCAGCGAGGGAACAGGCTTGCCAGTCGCACCTTCCTCCAGTTTGAGCTCGAAGGTCTTGGACTCCTGGAGCAAGTCAGCTGTGTGACTCAGCAGTGTCCAGATCGATCCGGTCAAAGATCATCAAAGATCTGTAACCCTGATGCAACCTGCCTGTTTCGTGCAGTTTGTTGGACTCGGAGTTGAATCCGCGGAATCCTCTGTTATCCATTGAATCCTTCTCTTGTTGCAACCCTTCCTCTGTCAGCTCCAGCACGGTGTCAGACAAAAGCTCCTTCCCCGACTCCCGGTCCAAAAGCCCTACCTCAGGCAAATATGTGCGGATCTCAAAACACTACGTCACTACAACAAAGATGCCTCCCACATGTTGAAGAAGAATGCTACTAGTACTAGATGATGTAAACCTGATAGTCGTTTCAAGACATGCGCCGCATCAGGAATGTTTGCAATCCCAAAGACTGATGAAGCAAAGACTTGCAAGCGCTCAAAACTCAAAAGAACAAGAATCAATGCAAAAATGTGGAGCATGATTCTTGCCACAGGTCACACCAGAACCTACTCTGCCATGCTGCCAAGGGCACCCGAACAGGTACCTGCATGGGCAACTTCTCCACTTGACCCGGAGTGTCTGGGACCTTCTGCCCAAGTGTCAACGAATAGGTTCCCGTCTCCGCATCCCAAGAATCGGTGGCCTTCACGGTTGGTGTGCCTGCCTGCAAATACCACCGCTCAAACTGGGTAAGATCACGGCCATTCGCATCCTGCAGATTCATTGATTGCGGTTCCGAAAATGAAAACTTTCCGGATGGCAGGATGGACAGCTGTACAAACCATTGGTCCGAGACCTGTTCTGAGGATTCCCTGTGTTGGCCCGAAGCCCTTTCACTGACTGATCCCAGACTTGGGTACATTTTTTCAGGCTTCTTAGTTGCCCTTTTTCTGGGAGCTGTGCTAAGGACCTTCTCTTGAAAAGCATGCTAGCTCAAGACACGCTACTTCATCCTCTTTTTCTAAACATGCTATTTGCAGACCTGCCGCTCACACTAGCCTAGATCAAGACCTGCTACTGCTACTTAGTACATTCATAAAACAACTGCTGCTGCTGCTGCTGCTGCTGCTTCCGCATCTGCTACTTCTAGACTGGCTATTTCAAGACCTTAGGCCTTGGGCCTGTGCGCAAAAAACATGCAATGGACCATGATGGACCTCTTCTTTATATCTTCTCTCTCTCTCTCTCTCTCTGACCGGCGAAGTTGGGCAAAAAAGCTGTGTGGATCGTGCGCGTGTCAAGCGCTTACGCGTCAGGGCTTTGGCGGATTCGCCGGTCTGCAGTGAGCCTCTGCGGGGGTCGTGCTTGTCAGACGGTCAAACAATGTCAAACGTGAGGGTTTTGGGATGATTCACCAGCGCTGGGTGAACCTCCTCAGCAGGTCGCCAACGCGATTTGCTCAAACATGACGACTTTCACGTTTTCTTTCCGCTTTTCGTGTTCGGCGGAAGTCTCGCATAAATTAAAGTTTTGAGGAATTCTCGCACGAACTGCTCAGAACTGATCCTGGCTCAGAACTGGCAACTTTGAGGATATGGGAGCTGCGGGCTCAGAGTTGGCGACTTTGTAGTCATGTAGTGTGGGAAGTAGATTCTGGAAGCTCTGGGCTCGGAACTGGCAAGTTTGCTAGCTTCTGGGAGCTAAAGGCTTAGAATGCTTAGAACTGGCAAAGTTGATCAACTTTGTAGTACGGGGTGACATTGTCACTTGGCACACGGCATAGCAAAATTATGCGGTGTTGTCGTTGCGCTAGGCTATGCGGTTTGGCGAGGCCTTGGTGGAAAGTTCGTTTGCATAGCTCGTTGCCGTGCAGAACACACAACTCAACTCACCAACTCAAACCCTCAAAAATTCAATGTTTTCTGCTGCTAAGCGTACAGAAATCATGTTATTTGGAGGGCCAAATCACACGATGTCCATACTCTTGGCCAAAATCTACCACCCCCATGGCTCACCAGGGGTAGGCACTGGCTGCTGGAGCCGTGGGTCACAAGCGCAAAAATGGATTGAAGTGTGATTGGATATTATTCCGCTCTGTGAAGTTTAGTTCTTTGAGTCGACTTTCACTACAACTACAAGTCTCACCCCTATGTAAAGATACATGTAGATACATTCCTTCCAAACTGCCTGTTGTTCACCTTTTCCAGAAGTGTCTCCTGCATGGCAGCTCGGAAGTCGTCACAGGTCACCGCGCTGCCATCATGGCGCTCGAAGTACAAGTCCATGCCCTTGCGAAAGCCCTCGCGGCCCAGCAAGGTCTCGTACATGCGGATCACCTCAAAAGCCAATGGGCGGCAAGGAGCAAGGAATACTAGGCCTATAAAAAGATTGGCTGGGTAGTTCGACGAATGGAAACAACATTTTTGCGCAGTTTGTCGCCACTCTCTTCTCCTGCACCTTTGGTCTCGATCGTCCCGGCCCCACCCCTCACCTCAGCACCCTTGTTGTAGACGGTGGCTGTATAGAAATTGTCGATAGCTGCGTACTTCTCGGGGCGGATTGGATGTGCCATAGGACCGTTGTCCTCAAGCTGCTCGTGTTAACACACGCCCCAGGCCCCCGTCACTCCCAGCTTCATTAAGCCAGCGTTTGTCGCAGGATCTTCCGATTACAGTATATAAGTATTGCTTTTCCCGGGTGGTCTCACTCGCGATTGATTGTTGATGTCTGCGAACGCGGCTTTGCCCTGAGAAAATGATCCGCCTTTAGCAAAAAAACACAAGCACAAACCGAAATTACCTGGAGTTTAATGAGGCTACCAAAAAGGCAGCGCTTCCTATCTGCACTATTAACATTGAAGCTTGCAGTCCACCCCAAGTATCCCAACTACAGGGCCCACGGCCCACATCAGGCCGTGGTGCCAAGTTGCATTGTTCATCTGCGAAGTTGCCTGTATGTACATAGTTCCATTGGGGAAGGTTCGCTCAATGATTGCAATTGCTGAACAGTGTAATTCCATTGGGGAAATGTACTTCCCAGTAGAACCGACACTTCAAAAGTCAACTAAAGTTGCAACTATCAATGTTCTTGCATCTTTCAGAGTTATGTCACCAAATGTCTTTTTGGGATCAAGACCACAGGAATGGGGGTTTGCATCAGGTGTGAAAAGCACAGTTGCCAAAGCTGCTCCTTTTCATTCTTCTTCCAGGCTCCGTGTGCTTTCAGCAATGCTTTCAAAGCTGAATATATAGAACTCTTTTGGGGGTGCAGGCGCCACAGACTGTCGGAAAACAAATTGAAAAATGATGTCAGTCAAAGCTGGGTCAGGCACTTTGTGACCTTCAACCTTCACACTCACTGGAAACTTGCGGAATACATTGTCTTACGAAATGGATGACAATGTTATCCACATGACATCCACGTCATCATTCCAGCACGACCCAACAGCCCCACACCACATGTCAATGGCTCGACTCATCAATGACAACATCCATACATCGATGACAGTGTTGTGAAACCGAAGACTATCTTGCGAAATCGATGACAACGTTCTTCACACAAACGTCAGAAAAAGGCACGAAACACCACGGCTGTTGCGGGCGGGGGCCCACTGCCCGAACATTCAAATCGCCCTTGACTTTCTGTCTGCCAAAGCTTTTATCGGCATAAACATTGTTTGAAAGGCGCGTGCGCTCTAGGATTTTCCTCAAACACGGGGTCTTGTAGCCAAAAGGGTTGCGCGTGATCGACGGACATGTCAGGCGCTTGACTGTGCATGAAACTCTGACACGCCCCCATCGATCATGCACTTTCTGCACAGCTCCATCTCGGCCGCCTTCGCAAAGTGCGGGCAGCTAGGAGAAAAATGCAGCACCTTGCCCGATGGTGTTTTCTTCAAATTGGCCATCTGTCGCATGAGCTTTTGGGCGTGCTTTGTTTCCAATTGAAACATTTGGAAGTGTTCTTCAGCTTGTTTTTTCAGCATGTTGATTCGTTCTTCAAGCTCTTCTATGTACATGTCCTGCTTCACATGTTCTGCCTGCATCTCCACCAACTCACGGTCATAAGCTGTCCTCAGTTCAGCTTCCACATGGCATGTTGCCTGTGTTTCTTGATCCTTCTTTTCCAGGACCACTCTCACCGTGCTCTCATCATTCTGGATCGTGACCTTCTTGAAGTCCAGCAAGTGGGTGACGCCACCCTTCACAAACACCAAGATGAAGTCCCGAAGCCAAGCAAAAATGCTCAAGACCCCAAAGAGTGCACATACACAAAAGACCGTCCATGACCAGCCAAAATGGCTATCCTCCGTGTAGGACTCCATGGTCGCTCCTGAGGCCTTCTCCAAGTTCGCCAAGAGGAGTAGCAAGCAGACACGAAGCGCCTTCTTGTTCCCAATCTGCCTTTGGCTGCTTTTGACCTGGTAGTTGCGTTCCAGGTCCTCAAACTCTTCTTCACCCACACGATCATTGACCATATTCACCATCTTCAGCATGAAGAGCAATCCCAGCAACCTTTTCTTTGCTAAGTTCTTGGTCCCAATATCGGCGCAGTTCAAGTCTGTTGGGATAGGAGCTACCGTCAGCACCTTCTCCTTCTCTTTCTGTTGGATCCATAGCAGGGATGCGTCCAAATGTCGGACACGGCCGATCCCTTGCCTCTGCACCATTGATCGTGCCGCAGAGCTGTCTGAGCGCACCTTCAACGTGCACTGCATGCCTGTCATCTTGTTCCAAAGGTGACGTACAAGTAGTCCTTCAGAGCTTCCAGCCACCATAGCCACAAACTCTGATTCTCCAGATGACAATGCGATGGATTTCTGAGCACGAACCTTAGACTCGATCAGGTTGCCGCCCATGAAGATCTGAAACGAACTTGTTGATTTTCGATCATTCTTGTTGCCTGCATAGTCGGCGTCTGTGATCACCTCAAGCAGATGTTGCGGCTGCTCAATGGCCTCTTCCTCTTCTCTCACGTCCATCACTGACTGGCCTCTTTTTCTCGAGTTTATCATCACCCCATAGCCATTCGTGCCGAACAAGTAGGACACCACACGCTCTGCATTCTTCACGGCCATCTGAGTTGGTTTTGCCATGTGCCTGGCAAGACATTGGATTGCATGTTGTGCGTCCGGCCGTTCACCTGAGATGTACATCAACTTCCCCGCAATGCTCCTGAACTTCGTGATGTCACTGCCATCCAACTCCGGGGATTCGTCTTTCTTGCCGAAGTCATTGCTCATGGGAGTCTTCCTGTAGAATCGTGCATGGAGGTTGGTCACATCTTTCTCCAAGCTGTCATACTGCTTGTGGTCACACCTGATGGTGCAGCTCTTCCTCCACCAATCAAACTGCCTCTTCAGGTAGTGGAACTTGTCGCCGGCTTGGAATGGTCCCTTTTCCTCGACATTCCAGTCCATCTCCTTCTTCAAGTAGACGCCGAACTGCAGCAGCTTTTCCTCAGTGCCAACCATGAACACGTCATCCACATGCACTGTGACATACAGTTCTTTTGCCAACATCATCAGCGTAGGTTGCATCATGTCCTGCACCATGCCAAACTGCAAGCATGTTCTGGCAAACAGTTGGAACCACTGTGACGCAGCTGTGCGTTGGCCTGGCAAGCATCGTAGGAGTCGAAAGATGCGGTCATTCACTCTTACAAAAGCCACTTCATCAGTCGGCTGTGGCGCCATCAAAAATGCATCTTTGATGTCCAAAGTCATGGCCTTGAAGTGAGGAAAGACGTTCACAATCAAATGAATCAAAAGTTTGGGTACCAGCATCATCGACGTGGGAGCGAATGTTTGCTCGAGGTCTATGGATCCTGAACTGTCGCGCCACCAATCTCGCACGGCGAAACCATCCTCCCATCTCGAGGCGATGTTTCCAAGTGTACACCTCTTTGGTCGATATGATGTAGCCCTCGCTTCTGATCACCTCCTCCTCATCACTCTCGATCATGGCGGGCATCTCCATCATTCGTTGAATCTCCTTCTCTCGTGCTTGGGCATCCAACTCAGCCAAGCGCTCTTCAGTCACCTCAGGAGGATCTTCGTCTTCTTCTCCTCCATATGCAAAGAAGATTTGGGATCAACTCCAAATCAACTTCTTCATCTCCATGGATCTCCATGCTCACTGCATTGATGCCAGCATATGCCGGAGGGTACAAGTGTGAGCTCGGTGAACCACGTGGCGACGCCTCCAATGCCCTCATTGGCTCATCATGGCCATGCTCTCGTTGCTCATGCTCCAACTCCTCCACATTGACCTCTGGCTCTCTTTTCTCGTGCGCCTTGCGCTGTGACGATGTATCGTCCCATCTCTTGGGCTCACTTTCTTCTGCTGTCTCCAAAGGTCTCTTCAATGCCATGGAAGCCACTTACTTCACCAGACGCTGATGTCGGCCCGGGAGTCGCTGGTGCCATTGAACCAACATTGGGTGTCTTGGGCGCCTCAATGCCAGGTGTGTTTGGAACTGGTGTCTTCAGCCCTGGCGTTGGTCCAACCATCCCTGCTGCAACCTCTGTGGCAATCTCCTTCATCTCGCTCTCTTCTGCTTCTGCCTCCAGCGTGGGCTGTCGCGTGCGCTGAGTCTGTCCAGCATGTCGCATCAGAATGCCCTGAGGAGAATAACTCCATGGAAGCCCCTTAGAGATCACAATGTCGGTTGCAATGAAGTTCTCACCAACTGCCAATCTCCTGATCGTCCTGGACTCAAATGCTCCTTCTGGCGTCAGGATCACATGTGTGTCGTTCCAGGATGTTTTCCTGCCCAAACTCCACGTTCGAAGATGTTGTTTCCTTTGAACTTGACAATCTTCTTGAACAGGACGCTTTCTCCAAACAATGCTAACTTCCCATCGTATCCATGCCCTGTCGCCAGCTCAAAGCTCGTCTTGTCGCATTTCTCCAAGACACGGAAGCGGTTGATCAGGAAAGCAACATACCTGAAGCTCCATGGATAGAGGTGAAATGATCCAAGGATTCTCAACCTTGCTCGATCCTCAGCGAATGTCCTGAGACAATTTGCCAGCCGCCTCACTGTTTGAACTGCTCTCTCAACCTGCCCGTTGGATTGGTGTTGTCCAGCGCCAGTCATACGGATCTCTGTCTTCAGTCCCATTATGCTGCGGACTTGTTGCACAGACCTCAAAATCTGTCGAGTCGCTCTCTCAGGGTCAGCCTGGAAGATGCACTGGTCATAGGCAGAATTCTCCAGCGCAAAGCGAGTGACCTCCTCCGTGACCGTCTTGAGGCTTGCAGTCCCTTTGGAAGGCACCGGCACTGCATGCACCGCCTTTGTCTCAGAGCTCGTCAAAATCAGGACTGTCCCATACTGATCTTGTCGCTCTTGGACTTTTCCAACCGATGGCTCATCACCTCGTTGATCTTCATCAGTGTACGTATAGCAAAAGTCCATCTGAATGGCATTCTTGCCCTGATCTTCCTGCTCTTCCCGTGCTGGGCGCTTGTCCTCTTTCGCACGGCTTGCCACACAAGCCTGGCACCATCCAGCGTAGGGCATGTGGGTGATGAAGTGTCGTTCCTGATCTGCTAAGCTCGGCAACTTTGGTTGTCCAATGGTCACTGGAAGTCTCTCCTGCTCCTTGTAGATGCGGTTTGCAATTGACTGTCTCCAAATTGATCTTGAAGGTAGTCAACCTTTTGAGGAGTCGCTTCTTGCTTCCAGTGTATGCCAAGTTGCGCTCTTTGCATGCGATCTGCAGGTCTTTCACCGAAGTCTTTTCCGAGAAAGGCGTCTCATCCAACTCGACTTCATGCGGATGTTGCGCAATCACTCTCTTCTCGATGTCATGGTGCTCCACCTGCTGTTCCATCTCTTCGATCTCTCCACCATCATCAGCAGACCATGCTGTTGCCTTGATCGCATCCTCAGGCTCAGGGCAGGGAGAAATTGGAACTTCTGAATCTGGCTCCCAGTAATCTCGAAACTTCGCAGGGGCGAAGAAGCTCAGAGTACGATGCGGCTCATCGTTCAAGCCAATCTTCCTGAAGATGTGTGGCTTTGCTTCTGTGATGTCATCCTCCTTCTCCAATTGCGTCCATTGGCCATTCTTTTCCTTCACAAGTGTCAACCTGGACTTGTAGGCCTTCTCGATGTTGTCCTTGGGGTCTGCCAATCTGACAGCGACTGGGTCACTGTAGGCCACCACTCCGTTTGGCAGTCTATGCCAGCCAGGAGCTAACTCCAAATCCTGCACATACTTGCTCAAATAGCCTGTCAAGGCCAGCACTCTTGCTGTAGGGCTCGTGGTGGATGTCATAGGGCTCGATGTCGACATAGCCTCACTCACCACACAAATCCTGGCCTCAAGCTGCAAGGAATTTCGTTCTGTATTCATGGAACTTCAATCCCTTTCTCATCATGTCGAAGTTCTAGCCCATCATCTGATCTCTGCAGACTCCAGCCACGTCTCAGTAGTTTGCCTGCGCATAGGATGGGGTGTTGCACATTGCCCAGGACAAACTCCTCCACTAGCTCAAAGGGTTTTCCTTTCTTGTCTTCTATGCGAACGCGGACTCTGGTCACTCCATCATGAGCAATTCTTTTGCCTTGCGCATCAATCATCTTCAACTCGCTGGAACCTTGTTGCCATTGGCCCACTGAAGCATAGGTCCTCGGCAACACTGACACGTCTGCGCCAGTATCCAGGGCCACCAGGCCATTGTCAGCATTCATGTCATCAATCTTGACCATGTTGACATAGAACTCCTCGTCGTCCTGTAAGTCCATGGCCACTATGCTGACTCCAGCTGGAACATCAACTTTGGGCTCATGACAATCCATGTACTCTTCATCCGCCGTCTCATGGTCATCATCCTGCTCACAGCGAATCATCCCAACTCGCCATGGGAAATTGTCGCCACTGCCTCTGGGTGTTGTCAGGTCGAAGACTTCCATTGATGGTGTTCCTGGCGGAGTCTCAATTCTCACCGTCTTCACATTGGCCGTTGAGCCTTGCACTGTCGATGGACCTGCACCAGTCGAAGACGAACTAGCTCCACCATTGATCTGCTCTTCGATTTGGTTGACTCGTTTCCAGCAGTCTTTGGCGAAGTGTCCGACTTTGCCGCATAGATGACAAGCTCCAGTCGACTTGCCACCCTTGGAACCTTTCTCTGTCGGCTTGCCTTTCTTGCCAGGTCCCTTGTCCCAGGTGGACTTCCCTTTCTCGTGGCTCTTCCAAGAACCTTTTCCATCTTTGGACTTGCCTTTGTCCTTTCCTTTCATCTTCCCTTTGGCATCTTTGCCCTTCACTTTACCTCCTTTCTTGCCACCTTTCTCCCATGCCTTGCCCACATAGTCGACCTCCATTGGTGTAGCCTCATCTGTGGCAGCCCGTGTTGGCAGCATGAGAGAGTTCGCGCTGTCCGATTTTGTCGTCACGGCCTCAAGCTGTATGATCCGGTCCTTGAGCTGCTCGTAGTTTGTGCTGTCCGTGATCCATAGACGCAAGCGCTGTCTGATTTGCATCGGACAAGCCAATCGCACCGCTGCCACCTTAGCATCATCGCTGTATCCATGGCCAGAAATCCTCTCATACTCGTTGATGAGTGCCTCAAACTGAGGTAGTTGTTCTGACACCGTTTTGCCTTCAGCAAATTGAATCCGGGACAACTGACTCAGCAGAGCCAATGCCCTCGCACGGGTCGCTGGTTGCATCTCCCGCAATAGGATTTGCCACGCCTTGAACCCATTCTCCTTTTCCACATGCCGAATCAGCTTCAATGGCCTCTGTCTGAGGTAGGACGTCAGCAAGCTGTAGAGTCGAACTGCCCGGCTCTTGGTTTCATCTGTCATATCATCCATGTCATAGTTGGCCTCCAAGTCTTTCTCGACCAGGTCCATGTCATTGGCCATCGTGGGGTCAATGCCTTTGATGTAGTTCATGAACGAGAACTTCCAATCTCCCCATGACTCGAGCTCATTGTCTCTGCCATCAGGTTTGAACACATCAGGAGCTTTGAGATGACGCGCCCAACCTTGGGCTGCTTGATTCACTGTCAGCCTCTCCAAAGCCGTGGCCACCAGACGAAGGCTTTCTTCAGCCATTGACCTGAGGTTCTTGGCCTTGGGGTAGTACGCCTTTGTCGTGCAAAGGGGATCGTGTACTTCTCCTTCTGGCTTGAACTCCAATCCACTATAGACCAAGCTCTCCCAGAAGTGCCAGTTTCGAACCAGCTCACAGATCTTCTCTGGTGGTGTTTCGTCCCGCAGGGTTTCTACTTTCGAGATGAACCTCCACTTTGAGGGAACAACCACTAGGATCTCGTTGAGATCAGCCGAAACCTTCCCTTCAACCCTTTTCTGAAGTATGACCGAGGCGCGAGTGGCCTTCTCTCCCTTGACCCACCGGATGCGAGCCAAGTAGTCCTCACACTCGACGCACTGGGTGTGGAAGTGTCGATGCTTGACCTTGCCAGTCTTGGCCACCAAGCGATTGGGCTGGTAGTAGTTCACCTCCTGGATCGCTGTTGCCCCGGCACCACCGGCCAGTCCGGCCAAGATGATCAGCTCCACAAGCCAAATGCCTGTCCACTTCGAGTTCTTGCTCCTGCCAACCTGAGAGTTCGTCGTGGCCCCAAATGCCCTGGGGCTCGTAGTGCTCGTGGTGGTGTCGTGGGCAGTCGGAGCGTGGCACGCTACGGCCAGCGCTCCGCTACCATGAAAGGCGCGCGCGCTCTAGGATTTTCCTCAAACACGGGGTCTTGTAGCCGAAAGGGTTGTGCGTGATCGACGGACATGTCAGGTGCTTGACTGTGCATGAAACTCTGACATTGTTTGTAGCGTTGTATGATGCCGTGAAATTGTCATAACCTCATGTAACACCTCCGTCATCAAACGCTGAGCCTCTATTTCCCAAATTCACTTTCGCACTATCATTCACAGTAAATTCAGTTTCCGCGCAAAGCCTCTTGGGGGAGTCTGCAGGTTTTGTGGGTGCCCAAGTATCCCATGGCCCAAGCCTTTAACCGTTCCCTCGTTCCTCCCATGTTCGGCTCCTCGGGAAACTGGGCAGCTCGGAGGATCCGCACGTCCTCGATACGCTTCCGCGCACGAGAGCCCATGTCGGCGGAGAATTCCTGGTCTCGGTAGACTGTGAGACCCTCCTGCAATCTCGGCACAAGCGAAGCGAGCTGAATGAATTCTTTCGTAACTATTCTTTGCCAATGCGCTTGCTTTTCCCTCTCTAGGATCAGATATGAGAGACGCACAAGACCAAGATCAGTCAAGGTCACATGAACAAATCTGCCACTAAGCTATTGAAACAATGCATCATTCGCTTTCCTGGCCCGTGTCACGCCAGTCACTGCAAAGCCTGCTCGATCCACAACCTTTTAGGCCAGGCTGCACTCCTTTAGAGTCAGCTGAAACCAGTCGCGGCAAGTCACACGATTCCCAGTCCTGACGCTGAGGTTGTTGCAGTGTCGACATTAATTTGTTTTCAAGAATAACAGAAGTAGCCGTCTGTTGCGAGTCCAGCCCAGAAATTGAGCAATTTCTCAATTTGGCACAATTGGGATAGCAACTGGAAAACCATGTCCAGTTGTGGAAGTATTCGTGGCCAATCACACCCTCGATGCGCTCGTAATCATCGTCAGTGGCTGTGTCTTCCCGCGCCAAGGTAAGAGAAGTATTGAACACGTTCAGACTCTTGTTCTCCATGGCTCCCATGTTGAAGTCCTTCACAAAACAAGATGGTTTTTGCGCCAACGGGCGCTCCATTTTCCGGAATCGGAATAGGAGAAGTCACCAAAGAGCGTAATTTTGTGGTGAGAAAGTCTTTGAACAAAGCTTCAGCGCTAGCCCCAACTCTACGAATACGTACAAATATATACCACTTATACCACCTTGACCGCCACAATGTTGTACATGTCCAAGTCGTACTCTAGGCCGAAACGGTCTTCATCCCACTTCATAGAATTTTGCAAGGACCTAGGTGACAATAGAGTCTGCGAACACGCATGTATGCAACTGTAGCGACGCTCAAAAACAAAGCGCACATAAACCTGACATGTAGAAACCACCGACCCGAAAGCAACACACGAGACTCGTTTTGATACTTTTACCGGGCAATGCCCAAAGAGGCAAGGACACTCTCGTGCCACACTCTTCTGATTACACTATTGCACAAAACTCTTAAAGCCTTCGTGGAAACTCTGGGTGATATTCTTGTAGGACTCTCTTGTGTGTGTGTGTGCGACACTTGTCCGGGACACATGCGTAGTTCGCTGCACACTCTTATCATAAAACCCTTTTACGCGACACTTTTTCACAGCTCAATACGCTCACAGGACGCTCTTGCGGCGCTCTTTTACTACAGTTTTGTGTGGCACTTTGGAACGACCCTGTTTCGAGGACACTCTGGTCTGTCGGCTTGAAAACACCTTTGCGGTGCATTCTTGCATTCTCTTGAGAACAACACTCCTTGCCTTTCGCAGGAGAGTCGTGGTATGCTTGCCCTGCATGCGGCCAGCGTTCTTATGAAACTACTGTACGCAGCACGGATTGCAAGATTTGATCTATTAAGATCTATCACTATGTTGGTACGCAACGTCACACTCCTATAAGACTCCGATGTGAGACTGTTGCAGGCCTCACTCGCGGGAAGGTTTTGCGAGATACTCTGATACTCTTGTTAGACTTATAAGTGTGTAACACTCTTGCCCGGCAATGACAAACATTCAAAAGGTGAGCAAGCAGTCACACAAACATGAACATGTCGGCACAACCCTTTTAAGAGGAAGATAGATCGCCCACACAGTTTTCATGGTAGGAGCCCTGGCCGTAAGTGCCCGTAGCACCACGAGCACGATGGGATCCAGGCAGTGGTTGATGGAACTACTTTTGCTTGCTGGACTAGCTGGAGAGGGGCAGGTGCGACAGCGATCCAGGAGATTCAATACTTCCAGTCCAACTGACCTGCACCAAGCTGAAGAGAAGGTACTACCACAGAATCAGGTGGCAGAAAAAAGGAGAGAAACTTAGTTGAACTTTGAATAGGATTTTGGTGGCGGTGCCCGCAAAGTTGAGGGACGAGACACCACAAAAGAAGTTGTGCGAGCTGGTGTACAATCGGCAAATCTGGGATCTGTTGGTCTTTATAGCGGACTAGTGACTAGAGTTCAACCAGGACATTGCAGGGCCCACTGTGACCGCAAAAACGTTTTATCCCAAGGTTTGGCAGATGAAACCTTGAGGTTGGTGGCCAGTGCGTTGGAGCGGCTTTCAGTCAAGTCTTGGGGCCGGGGAGATTGGAAATTGCCCTTCTTGAACTACAAGAGAAGAAAATGACCCCACCATGGCAAATGATATGGACCATGTGGAGAAGGACTTGGAGGCAACGTATGACCTCGATGACATGACGGATGAAACCAAAGGGAGAGCCACGAAACACGGTATCTGCACAATTTGACGCACTCCTTATATAACGAGTACGAGAGGATTTCAGGGCATCAGTATGCGAATCCGTGACCACGAAGTGGGACAGCTCCAACAGCCTTGTGTTGCCTACGAAGGTTTCCAGCAGATGAGGCTACACCAATGGAGGTGGACTACTTGGAAAATCGTTGCAGGAAGGAACAAAAAGCGGCAAGGGCAAAGGAAAGGATGGAAAAGGGAAGAACAAAGAGAAAGAGAAAGGAAAGGTTAAGGAGGCCCGAGGAGCATGGAAGAGCGCAGAGAACACATGAGAAGGGCCCTTAAAAGAAGGGACGAGGGCTTTAAAGGCGGAAAGTCTGGAGTTTGTCACGTTTGTGGCAAACAAGCGCTTTGCAGAGGATTGTTGGAAGAGAGCGAACCACGTCAAAGAGTTGTCTACAGTCCACAGGGTTCACCCCACGCATCGTCATCATGGACTGCATATACACCTCCTGGCACGCCATCCATGGAAATATTTGACAAAATGTCAAAACGTTCGTCAAGTTCGTCACGATCGATTAACAAACACATCCGCACATGCAGAAACAAAATGAGTATGGAGTATTAGGATGCTATTAGATTATTAGGTGGAGGCCAGCAAGTAGGTTGGAGGCCATCGCTACTAGTGACAACAAAAAACCCTGAATAATGGTTCCAACGGCTGGTCGTCTTGTTCTCGCTAAAAACAGGCGCCAACAGGAAGCGCAAGGTAATCCATCACCGGAGTCTTCGCTGGCAATGATTCCACGAACTCTGTTCGTGTTACAGTACATGTGAAACAGTAAATGTCAAAAAACAACCTGGTTCCAAGGTCACGTACACACTTAGATAAAGAACTCAAGTGAATGAGCACAAGTTCAGAAGGTGACTCGAGAGTGCATTAGACCTTCTCTGCAGTAGGACTTGACAAACTTGATGCAAGAAAACAACGCATGAGACAGCGTTGGTCTTACTTAGGTTCACAAAGGCTCAGGCGCAGGTACGTCGGCGAGCGTCCCCACCAATATCAGTGTTCGACGCAAGCCTCTTCGTTGGGCTGGTACTTGCATGAACAACCAGCCCCCCTGCTGCATGAATTAAGTTGAAAGTTGAAAGGAACTCTCAGACACAGAGTGTGGCACACTTGACACACACAACACGCGATGACTGGCGCTCTGGTGGAAGCCAACTTTCACTTGACTGAAAAGACCTGGTTACAGTTACACACCTAAAAGCCTCTGGAGGAGAGTCAGACCTAGAAAAAGAAGCAAAGAGAGAACGAAACGAAAACCGAGGAGCAGGGTTGCGTGTGTGAAACGGGGTCGACTAAACCTCAAGAGCAACCTAACAGCCTGAAGAAAAACCTAACAAACTGCGGGGGCGTGTGTGAGAAAGAGAAACAAAAGGCATGAGAGAACAGAAAGAAAACTGAGGGGTAGGGTTGTGTGTGTGAGGTGGTGGGTCGACTAAAACGACCTCAAGGCAACCTAACAAGCCGGAAGAAAAACCAGACAAACGAAGGTTCTGGAGAAAACTTCCCTGTGCACTCGGCGCTAAAATTGACACGTTTTCAAAGCAAAAGCTTTTGGTCGGAAAGTTGCTCACGATTCAAACGCAGGAGTCGGAAGTGGTCACCTGCGCCAAAGGACTGAAGCGAAGGGATCACATGGCATACCGCGGTGGGAAGATGCCGCTGGACACACTTAGATAAAGAACTCAAGTGAATGAGCACAAGTTCAGAAGCGACCTTTACTGCAGTAGCACTTTAACGCAAGAAAACAACGCATGAGACAGCGTTGGTCTTACTTAGGCTCACAAAGGCTCAGGCGCAGGTACGTCGGTGAGCGTCCCCACCGATTTCAGTGCCGTTGGGCTGGTACTTGCGACAACCAGCCCCTGGTGCGTGAAATTAAATTGAAAGGAACTCTAAGACACAGAGTGTGAGGGGCACCTTGCACGGTCGCGAAAACAGAGCTCCACCCTCAAGGTGCGAATCCATGATGGACCCCCCAAACAAATCACTTTGGAAAACCAAGCAATGCAACACAAGCTGCAGACCTCAGGAAACGCTGCAGCTGCGCAGGAAAGTGCCTACCACATATAGTACAGACTTGAAGTTTCCGCGTTATTTCCATCCAGTACGTACTCCCCGCGGCGCCATTACTTGGACACTCGCGTTCGTGCGCCCAATTCTTGCAAACGATCGGCGAACACGATCTACAACCCCTCACACTGCCCCGGTTAAAAACCCTCCAGGTGCTCCAGTTTGAGCAAAGAAAACAAACACACACACACACTTATTCATAGGGTTTGCAGTTTCCATAATCCCCAAGGAAAGGAATGGCACAACGGAAAGGCGGCTGAGTCAGAGGACTTGAAGGTGTTTGAACAAAAGTTAACGCGCGACTGCAGAAAACTAGTGCTTAGCAGACCAAGGAAAGGAAAGAGTGAACCGAAAGGCGAAAAGTCAGAGTACTTGTTTGAACAAAGGTAAAACTAGCTACTGATTACTTAGCAGCGTGCAAGGAAACCTGTTTTGACCCACGCAAACCACCATGGAAACAAATCAGGAAAAGTGGAGTCACAGCGTGGGCAAAAGTTTCGCAGGTACGTTTGCAGCCCTCCCCAATGGCCTCTTCGGCGGCCATCCGTCTCTGGGGAGGGACTGGGGAGGGGGATGGCCCCCTGCGAGAACTTGGGAAAAATTGGCGGACAGGACGAGCTCCTGGATGGCGAGAACTGTATGGTTGAACATCGGCGCTCCGGGGGAAATTACTAACCGCCTAAAAAGCCTTAGAAAGAAAGAAAAGAAAAGGCAGAAAGGGAAACGCAAGGGCAAGAGAGAAAAATAGGTGTAGTTACGAGGCCCACTAGTTGCGAAACCTGCTAGTTACTGAATACTTAGCCGCATGAATTAAATGCACTAGTTAGCGAGCAGGACATTCGTATTAAACCGCTCGGGTAACTAGAACTGGGACAGGAGAAACAGAAGGAAAGGCACCGACACACAAGTGTGTCGAGTACCATTTCTTTCTGTTACCCTAGATAGCGGGTGGGATAAAAGCGCGAATTCGGGCGCAAGGTGCGGGGGGTGCGTGGATGTGTGCGTGTGTGTGACACATATATATGACTGTAAGCCCGGCGGCGTGGAAGTTCCGTGGAGCCCGGCGGCTTAGGTTTTGGGAATAGACTGGTAAAACGAAAGTCCGTTAAGATAATCCAACGAACGCAGGACGCGGAAAAATCCGTTGGTGGTACTCCAGCATGAAACGGCGCCCCAGTGACGGGGATCACACTCTGCACCCACGTGGGACGGGACAGCGGCACACACTTTCACATTTGGTTTTCAGCTAACTCAATTCCCAGGAAAGGCGATGGAAACGCAAGGTGCAAAGGGCGGCGAGAACTGTACGGTTGAACATTGTTTGCAAGCGCGCTCGAAAACGGTCTGACACTCAGTGCGGCTGCAAAGC